TATTTAACTTTTTATACAGTAAACCCTCATATTAATGGACCATTCGGGGAGATGGAGCACAAATTAAATCTAAATATCAATTCGGTCCAAAATTTAGGTAATTTGCATCAATTATACAAATAACAAAAATTGATGCAAATGACATAGTTCTTATATAAACTGTCTGGATTATTTCATGTGATGATGATGATATCCATTCAGTCATGTCTGATTCTCGGTGATTCTATGGACTAGCTCTCTTCACATTTTCTGATCTTGTACCGCTTCTCTCAGTTGTTTTATGGTCTGGTTGATGTTGGTTTTGATGGTGTCTAGCCACTGTGTTTTTTGGCAGCCTTGTTTCTTTTACCACTGATCATTCTGAGCATAACTGCCTTTTCCAGTGAGTTTGATCGCGTGACATGGCCGAAATAAGACTGAATTTTGTGATTTTGCCTTCCAGCAATATGTCTGGTTTTATATGCTCCAGAATTTGCCTGTTACCTTTGCTGTCCAAGGAATGCGCAGGAGCCTTCTCCAACACCACAGCTTGAACAAGTTGATTTTCCTCCTGTCTAGTTTTTCATGGTCCAACTTTCATAACCATAAGTAGCTACGGGAAACATGGTGTGGACTAATCTGCATTTAGTTGCCAGGCTGATGTCCTTGCTTTTCCATATTCAATTCATGCTCATCATTGACCTTTGCTGTCCAAGGAATGCGCAGGAGCCTTCTCCAACACCACAGCTTGAACAAGTTGATTTTCCTCCTGTCTAGTTTTTCATGGTCCAACTTTCATAACCATAAGTAGCTACGGGAAACATGGTGTGGACTAATCTGCATTTAGTTGCCAGGCTGATGTCCTTGCTTTTCCATATTCAATTCATGCTCATCATTGCTGTGTGACCTAGTGCGATTTGACACTTTATTTCTGGACTGCATTCACTGTTCTGACCAATCTGCAATCCTAGGAAAGTGAATTCTTGCATGCATTTGATCTCTTCACTGGCAATTCCTAACAGTGGTCATGAGCTTGGTCTTTCTGATGTTCAAGAAGGGGATAAATTTCTCACTTTCTTCTTTAATCCTTCGATCAGATGTTTTAGGCCTTCTTTGGTTTCTGAGAGGAGAATTGTGTTGTCAGCATATCAAAGATTGTTCATGTTCCTCCTCCAATCTTTACTCCGGTTGTTGATTCTTCAAGTTCCAGCTTTCTCATGATCACTTCAGCATACAGGTTGAATAAGGAAATGCAACCTTGCTGCAGTCCTTTCTCTATCTTGTTTATCTTATTTCATATAGAGATATCTTGTTATCTGATCTCATATACAGTACACTTTATTTGGGGTAATGCCCAGACGGAAATTTTGTCCCCTGTATCAGAAATCTGCTCACTTGAAATCTGTTAAAACTGATGGTTTACTTTATTTTTTTTATAATTGATTTTAAAGGGGAATCTTATGTTACTCTATTACAAGAGATATTGGGGAAAATCAGGCAATAAGCAAAATTTGGGTTCTCTACCTGAGATGCCAAGCTGCCATGGGTTACCTTTATAATAATAACATCCTGCCCCCGGAGGTGCGATTAGCCCCCACACTCCTGGCCTTCTGTAAGGCTTTGAAGACCTGGTTCTGCCACCTGGCCTGGGGTGGGGTAGGAATACAAGCATGGGGATGGCTAACCCCATAGAGCCCTCTGCCTTCAACCTCAGGTTTTTCATCCTCTTGGTCTCTCCTTTTTAGTAATGTTTTAATTTAAGGTTTTG